GTGATCTTTGTCCTAACACGATGCGCAGTGCTCGTTTCTGGATTCATTCAATTTGCTGTTTTTGTTGCTTTGTCAATGCTCCGCTCTATACTGGCGCTGAATATTCAGTGAGGGGCCGGACGTATCCTACATATACGGTAAGTAAGTCCTCGGATGGAAGGCCATAACGCTTCAACACTCGTAACATATGGAGTTTTCCATTGGCATGTTTTTCGATATATTTTACGTGTGAATCCCATTTTAGATCATTTTGGATATGAATGCCCAGGATCTTAGCAATACTCACAGTAGTAAGATAATGGTCATTAATAACTACATTGGGTTGGAATGGTTGGTTTCTCATAAAGGAAACGTCCATTTTCAAACATTTTGTAGGATTCAATTTCATTTTGTTTTGATCAGACCACTAAACAAGATTGTTAACTGCAAGTTGCATACTCGAACATTGATTAACTTGCCGACATTCAACTAGTATTAAATCATAAACATACTTAAGAGTGTGCATTTGGTCAGATGGACATGCGTCATTAATCATTGCTAAAAAAGTTACTGGTTCCAATCTCGTTCCCTGTGGAAGCCCGGCATTTATAGAGTTAACCAGTTTGAGCAGGTTGAATGATACAGGACACACTGTTGACAAGAGCACAAAGAGTAACAAATCCAGGGGATAATGTTACTCCTCACTCCGACATCAATTAATTTTGAAACAGCAATTGTATGGTCAATTCTGTCAAAAGCCTTTGTGTAATCCGTAAGGATTATAGAAGATACAGTTTTGGGTTTTTCCCCAGTAATAATAAATCCCCGTTAACATAAATAGGATGGAGTATGTTAATTGTTTATTAAGAAACGTCACAGGAGGATGCTGAGTCTTTTGGAGAGGTTGGCGAAGCGGTAGAAGTGCTATTTAAAGGCCTGTGCTCTGTTTTTACGATGAATGCAAGATGTTTCCAGGCACTGATAGAAGATGGATGGGATGATGTTGAACAGTTCAAGGATTCAACAAATGCCTGGAAAGTGCATATTTTGGCCTTTGCACCAAATGGGGGTCCAAGGAGGAATCTAGAGAGGCTGATTCAGCAGGTGGAAGCTAGTCCGCTGGAAAGGCGAGAGCCGAACAGAAGATGGCACACAGAGGAGATGGATCCAGCGTCTCAAGCATCTGTAGTCCAACCAGAGCAGACGACAGCGGCGCATCCTACCGCAGACCTTACTAGAGAGTAATTTCCTGTTGCCAAACTGATTTTCATCAAGCTTAGGGATAAGATCTTGCAGGGTCTATCTTGCGATAAACGACACTATTTTCGCGAAGTGGTCCGTCAAGGAAATACGTCGAAGTTTGTCAACGGACGGGGGGTTTTGGGGATCGGGACAACTATAGCACGTTTCCACTTGTCCGGGACAATTCCTCTTTGGAACGACAAGTTCATTATGTGGCTTAGTGGAACGGCAAGTTCAACAGAAAACTCAGCATCTTCTCAATAAGGGCTTATTCCCTTATACTGTAGGCTATCAACACCTTGCCTTACTAGGAGGAACTTGTTACCTCCAACTATTATCACCCCCTCTCATCAGTCAGGGTCTTTCCATTCCGTAATCGACTGCTCACTTTAGCAAATGGGGCTTTTCTCTTATGTTCTTTCCAAATGGGGCTTCTTCCCCTAGAATTTTTACTTGAAATCAGAGACTAGAACGGTGTCCTCGTCATTTATATTTATTCATTTTTCTTTAAATTAGGTGAAATTTTGCCCAATTCATGCCAAAGCGGGTGGGCCATTCCCAATAATGACCTTCCCTCGCCATTTTTTTGGAGGGGGGGAACCAAGGCTCTCCCCTTGTTGCATCGCTGTCCCAACATATGTGAAAATCCAAGGTTTATCACCTCATGGACACCCGAAAACAGGATAAAACCCCTGCCAACACCATCATTCAAAAACGGGCCCTCTTCCCAAAATCAATGGACCATAATGCACAAGTCAGCCCTTGCTCATAGCCTCTACCTCCCTTTTCACAGCCCCGTCTCCACCTTTCGCGACTGGCTTACTTGGCCAGAATGTTTTAAACAGGGCTTGTCCCCTTCTACCAGGTCTACAATTTAGCTTTTAACAAGGCCTTTACCTCCACTCGGCTTTAAACAGCTGTTACCCTTTGACAATGAAAAGCAAAATACCACAGTCAAGGGTTGCCTTGCTTCATATCAAACCATTCAACTGTCAAATACTGCACACAATAAACCCTCATTGATGATAAAATGCATAGTTACTGGGGCAGTACTTGAGATGAACCAGGGTCTGCGGTAGTATGCGCCGCTGTTGACGTCAATGCATTGGGCCCCCCTTCCTGCTCCTCAGTCTGCTCTGGTTGGACTACAGATGCTTGAGACACTGGATCCATCTCCTCTGTGTGCCATCTTCTCTTCGGCACTCGCCTTTCCAGCGGACTAGCTTCCACCTGCTGAATCAGCCTCTCTAGATTCCTCCTTGGACCCCCATTTGGTGCAAAGGCCAAAATATGCACTTTCCAGGCATTTGTCGAATCCTTGAACTGTTCAACATCATCTAATCCATCTTCTATCAGTGCCTGGAAACATCTTGCATTCATCTTAAAAACAGAGCACAGGCCTTTAAATAGCACTTCTACTGCTTCGCCGACCTCTCCAAAAGCCCAAGTATCCTCCTGTGACATTTCTTCCATGATGAAGTCAATAGTGCTAGTCGAAGCCTGTGAATCACCTCTGTGAACACGACTGCACCCAGCAAATGTCATCTGACATGTAAACAATAGGTGGTAAATGCCGTCAGGCAGCCACGGCTCAATAGCGACACGAATAACCATACGTCCTCACGAAGTCAGGAGACCAATTGTATAGCTGTATCTAATTCCAACAAACCTGACTGCAGCTCAAACCAGAGAAGTCGATGCTTACTAGACAATGCGGATGTATTCGCGCCCGCACCCTGCCCAAGCTAAAGAACCAGCCAGGGCAAGCCAGCACAAGACGCCTCTGGCGTAGTCACACATGACTACTTGTTACTTACGGATATTAAACATTTTTCCTTGTATCTACATATACATATCTAAACCCTGAAAGTAACACACACTGTAACAACACTGTATTAAACACTTGCAAGCAGATGAATTTCCATATTTTGGCAAACTCCCGGAATATTCTAGTATTCAGTACCGAACAGGATCCTGAACCACCTGGATGCGGGAACACCAGAAACGTGACTTATGTGTCATCTGTTACCCTCAACGTCCACAATGATACAACTAATGGGAGTCAATGAAAGGATAATGATAGCACTGTGTGCTTAACTGTGTGCATGTATAAGAGCTGAAGTAAGTAAAGTCAGTAAAACACTGAAGTAAGCTTAAAATTACGCACAATTCTAGGCCTGTAATTGAAATGAACGACGATGGCCACTATCCAAACACGTGAGGCCGACTTCATATGTTGTATTCCCTGTACATGTGCTATACGCGTACATATGCATACACACGCAGATGTACAGTACACATATGGTACGGGCACACATACACAGAACTTAAAGCTCCGTTCCGATACGTGCGCCGATACGTTCAGCAGTGACACCCCCATTGCACCAATAAATGTCTGTATTTGTACAGTCGCATTCCAGCAAGAGTTGGTACATGTATGGCAGATTTTACACGTAGTATTAAATGACATTCTCTTTCTCAGAACTCCTACCTGCACATGTATGTGTGGTACAAACTTCACATTGAAGTCTGTGTACGAGGCAAATGATGATAGTCATACTATGTGTGTGCATGCTGATGTTTTCATGCAGATTATCAAAAGATTTTGATGAATGGATATCTGCCTTTACACAGTAAAAGGCCATTAAACACATTTTGTTTTTGACAGCATGGTGTTTCGACAGCAGTACACACAGGTAATGGCATAGAAAAGTTTGAAATTTCTTTTCTTCAATTTTTTCTTGATTCTGTTCATAATGAAAATGCCTGATTTAGAATAATAACCAGATGACCTTGTAACCAATGTTTGTGTAAGATTGTTACAGAAATATATGAGACAATTGTTGTTTCATCCTGTGTTCATCTTTATTTATTGATAACCTGATTTATTGAAAACCTGATTCCCCCCCTGAAAAAAAAAACAAACAAAACAGTTCTAATCCTGGAGCTTTAGGGGGCAGAGCCCCCCCAACCCCGCCAAGGTGTTGCCCTTTGAGTACATGAGGGGCTCTTGAGCAGGCCCTTTGACCCCTGGCTGTGACTCACCAGAGCTCCTCTCACTGTGCTTCGCCTAAATATTACCCAGCACTAAATTTGGGCTGGTGACAATGCTGTTTCAGAGGTACATGTACTCTTTGTGGTCATTTTGACACCAACTTCGTAAATATCGAACAAACCATTCTTGCAATCTGCTTTGTTGGTGAAGCCACTGCCTGAAAGTGCAAACACCTAGAATTTTGATTTGGTTAGGGTACGGTAAATTCTGCCTTGGGTATGCCATGCCTAATTTTTTTAACTTGGCATGTACACGTACCGTATGTGAAGACACTAGTTATCATTACAAATGCAAAATTTGAACTTAGTCAGCCCATATGGTTTTGCTGGTATGGTCATTTCAATTTCAAAACTACATGTACATATACATTCATGCCAGTCCATGAGCATTGGAAGAAGTATACATTTTTGGCTGACCTGTCTCGGAAAATTGCAGACTGTGAAAGAATGGTTTGATCAAATTACGTAATTAAAGCCAAGATGTTTAAAAAATCAATTGCAAATTGCATCGCTAAATACTGCTATGCATTTTTTAACTAGATTGCAGACTGTCCAAAACACATGGCACTTTGTAATGCAATACAAGAGAAAGAGCTCCTTGCAGGTTTCATACATGTAGGCTGGTCTTACAAGCAAAGGGATGAAATACAGTTTTTTTTATGCTTCTATAGATTTTCCCTCACAAAGATTTAACCAGAACAGTTTGATCATGTTAACTGTCTCACCTGTGGTTAAGTTCCTCCTCATTTTCGAAGACACCATGTGGCTTCAGGGCTTCCACTAACTTCTCAGTGTTCACCAAGTCTTCTGGTTTAGGACCCTGAAGACTTATGGGGGAAGTTATACCATATGTTTTCGGAGAGGATTCAGACCTGGCATGAAATAATAATGACACATCTCATTTGAACATACATGTACCCATGTACCCTGTACATGTACATTTAATGGAGCCAGGAAAATACATGTAGATATATTTTTATAAACTTTACTAAAAACCCTTGAAATTCCATATGTGAGTTTCAATTGGCCTTATTTCAAACTTTTGTTTTGCAATTTTATCCCATATTTTGATACTTTTTTGCTTTTATGCTAATACTTATTTGCATATTCATGAGCAGAACTATGATGTCATCCAAGGCACTGAATCTCAATGTTGCACTGATTTGTGCACAGAGAATTTCTAAAAAATTTAACCACTGCTATGGCAGATTTCATTTTCTTTGGTCAATTTACTGCTGTGCAAGTATATGGCAATAATCCAGCAAAAATCCTTTTCACAGAAATGTTCCCAGATAGCAAATTTGGGGTTCACGATTTGAACATGAAAACTTGCAATCTGAACCAAGTCTTCCTGGATTTACATCAAAGCAAAAGCGCCCTCACTTGTCCAGAAATGCTTGGTCGATTTTTAATGTCTGAAAAAGTGCACCGTTCAGTTCACATAACTCAAAAAAGATGTCAAACAGTACATGCAAACTCCACTAGCAAATGGTCACACAAAGTACATCTAAGCTTAGTGACTTTGAGTTCTCAAAGTAGGCCTCGCTAGCCAAACATACATGTAAGACCATAGTTCATGTAGGTACGTGGCAATCTTCATTGAACAGGGCTATCGATTTTGTATATACAGTGTAGCCTCGTTTTCTTTTTTTGCCAGTCCAATTTTAGTGCTCTAATGCTGCCGTGTTGGTATTTCCCCATGTCTAAATATACATGTAACTGAAATTACGAAGAGCCCCCTTTTCTATGACATTTTCTTGTATTTACATGAAAAACACAAGGTTTGATGACATAGTCACAGGTTAGCCATTTTATCTTGTCCAGAAAATATTTCCAAAAAAAACCTTCTGAAATTCACTCTTCTCATCCAGGTCAATTATTGCAACAGAACGATCACCAAAACCATTGATAATATTATCAAAGATTTTCTTTTTTCTATGATTGATCAATTGTTTGATTATATTTTAGTTGATTTGTGAAAATCAACGAGATTTATCGATCAGCACATTGTATTTTTTTGGGCCTAGTATATTCCTTTCTTTTTTTTTGTAGGAGGGTGATCCTGGGGTCATTGGAAAGCTTTTTTCAGGACCTTTCAACTGGTATACCATTGCAGTGGCATTTAACAACTTTGAATTTATTTGGCGCATACCCAACCATACTGGGCCATGAGAATAAAGTTGTAGATTTGTGTCCACCCACACATGTCCCCTCAAAAGTTCATATTTACGAACATTTAATTAAATGTAAGGAAAAGACACAAAATCAAAAAAATCAGAGTTCCGAGTCTTCTAGCAGTTGTATGAAACACCATATGGAGTGCACAAAATCCGGGAGTTGCGCAAAATGGTGGGTAGCAACTGATGAAAACAACTGCAATAAATGCGCACGTACGTATCGATCAAAGAAATGAATGTGTAATTGAATCCTCTGACCGGCTTGTGCACACATGTCACTATGGTTGCTGTTTTCATTGGTTAGTACCCGCCATTTTGTGAGATTCCTGAACGTCCGCACCGTCCCATTTATGCATTTCATCCATAAGGCTAAACAAAAAATAGCTCTATTTCCGGTTACCCAACCCAACCTAGAAAATCTTGTGAAATCTTTTTATTCAACAAATCAATACAATCCAAAACTTATGGTGCCTTGCCCCGAGCCTAATTATATGTACATCCTCCTTTAAATTGTATTGTTTTATTTTTTTTGGCATGAGATGGATAGCTCTTATGTGTTTATATAAATTGGACAACCAGCTGTTTTAAAACCACTCAATTACAGTGCAGATACATGTGTATGTATGGTAATATTGATATGCACATGTACAGTATGAATCTGACACTGACTTAGTACCTGTTACAAATATACACGCCCCCACAAAAATACAGACCATCACCGGTCTTCCCCTCACAAAATTCATTATTTTCAAGATGTATTTTTCGCAAGCTCTCGGACAAGCACTGAGCATACAGTGC